CAAACAAGCTGGTGAACATATATTAAAAAAAGTGATATTGGTTCATCTTAAGCATAGTCGAGATAAGTTCAATCTTTTGATGTAGGTAATACGTTTAAACGTGCATATTGATATAATGGGAATTTCTTAAATATTTGAATTGGTATTTATATTTCACGCGCTTATAAAAGCTTCATGGTCCGCAAGCTGTATTCTCTTGTTGCTGGTGAATGTTCCCCAGATAACCCAGATTCCCCGCAAAACCAAGAAATTCTTCTGGGCGGGCATCTTTATGGAATGCTTATTAAAGAGAAACTTGGTGACTGCTTAAATGCTATCCGTGCAGTAATTACTGCAGACGTCGGTAATAATAGATCGGTGGATTTCAACGATAGTATGTGTTATATTTCATTATTCTGATTATTTCGCTTAGTACTATTAAGTCTATATTTGTATGACCTTTTTTTTTTTTAGAAAAATATATTTCTAATGTATTCAATAGATCAAATATAGAAATTGGAAGAAAGTTGGCATATTTTCTTGCTACAGGAAATCTTGCTTCTAGCAGTGGATTAGATTTGATGCAGGTACGCCTCAAACTTTCAATCAAAAGAATTATTCTTAAATTTCAATATTTGTCTCAACAATACATATTTGTAATTTGTATTTAAAGGCTACTGGCTATACTATAGTAGCAGAAAAACTTAATTTTTATCGCTATATCTCACATTTTCGGTGTGTTCATCGTGGATCTTTCTTTACTCAAATGAAAACAACTACTGTACGGAAACTTTTACCAGAATCGTGGGGTATAAATAGACATTAATCTGCATAAAGTCATTTAATATTACTTGTAGAGTTGATTCATTTGAATCAATTAATTGGCCAAGCAGGGTTTATTTGTCCAGTACATACTCCGGATGGTGAACCATGTGGATTGCTTAACCATCTTTCCCACACTTGTAGGATTATTACCACCAAGCCTAACGTGGAGATGATTCCAACAATATTGGCAGAAATGGGTATAATAAACAGATTAACAACAGGCACCCGTGATACTAAAAAAAGTTTTTTATGTATGCAGTTGGATGGAAAAATTTTAGGCTGGTGTGAAACGGGACATGCACAATCAATTGTGAATAAGCTGCGGTTGTTAAAGTTTGAAGATGAGGTATAAAAAAATTAATTTTACATTATAATTAGTTATATCACATGTATTAAGCTGTAGCTGTACTATTTAGATCTCTATTGACCTTGAAATCGGATATGTTCCTCCTTCTAATGGTGGACAATATCCAGGCATTTACTTATTTTCTGAACAATCGCGTATGATGCGACCTGTCAGATATCTTGTCAATAATGAAATTGATATGGTCGGATCATTTGAGCAGGTATCATTATATATTCCGTAATGAAATGTAGATTAAACGCTTTAATTAAAATCTTTTTTTTTTTTTTTTTTTTTGCAAAATAGGTATATATGAATATTGCGTGTTTACAAGAAGATATCATCAAAGGTGTAACAACCCACATAGAGATTGAACCCACAAGCATGTTAAGCATTCTAGCTAATTTAACACCATTTTCCGATTACAACCAAAGCCCTCGTAATATGTATCAGTGTCAGGTAAAAATTTAACAGACAAAATACAGTCAAACATCTCTAAATGTACGCCCCGAGACCGGAAGTAAGTGTGCATTTAAAGGTGTACGATTATAGAAAATTCAACTAGCCAACCAGAAGAAAAATATATTCATGATTAACTCAAATCTCTTTAAGTTCGCGCCCTTAGAACGAAAAGATGTGCATTTAAAGAGAGCATAAATTCTTATTTAGTGGTTAAATATCACATTTAAAGAGGACACATTCAAACCTCTATAATTGCAATCCCTTCTCGTGATTACAAGATAAATTTTTAATAATAATGTTCATTTAGAGGTGTGCGTTTATAGATGGCATTTTCTCTATGTTTTTATATATGTGGGACTATGTGTTCTTTTAGGGGGATTTATATAGTGTGTGCTTATAAGGTTTGACTGTATATGTGCTTGGGTTTTAGAAACCTATGCACGTGCAAAAAGTAGAGATTTGTACTTAACACTTAGTTTCGAGCTCGGGGCCACTTAAGTGTAATCTAGAGTGTGTGGTTTGTAGGGTTGTTAATGCGAGTATTCCAATTAATAATAAAACATAAAACCCACTACGGGGCATTCAGAAGCGGGTTATATGTTTTATTATAGTCTGGGGTACCCTATTAATAACCCTAGTGGTTTGACTGTATATATAAATGCATGACTAGATTATTCTAATTAATCTATTCTGTAAAGATGGCCAAGCAAACGATGGGTACACCTTCGACAGCAATTATGCATCGAACGGACAATAAATTGTATCGACTTCAGACTGGTCAAACCCCAATAGTACGGCCAGTGCTTCACAGTACTCTTGGTCTAGATGGATTTCCTAATGGAACGAATGCTATTGTAGCTGTGATTTCGTATACTGGTATTATTTATTTAAATCTTAGAACTGGTGATTGTACCCGGCATAAATTGTTATATGGTTGCCCGGAATATATATATAACCTACCCGATAACCCGCTCGGGTAGATATTATCTCAACGGGTACAATCTTTAATTAACCTTTTGTAAATTTATAATTAATGAATCATATACACAATAGGTTACGATATGGAAGATGCGATGATTATCAGTAAGTCAGCTCATGAAAGGGGGTTCAAATATGGTACCATATACAAATCTGAGGTAGTTAGTCTTGATGAATTCTATGAATCTGGTATTAAGCATCATTTTGGTCTCGGTGAAGACGTACCACCATCATTGCGAGAAAAACTCGATAATGATGGTTTACCGTTTATTGGTGCACGATTAAAAACGGGAGATCCCTTATGTGCATATATAGATGACACACAAGGAGGAAAAACAATTGTGAAGCAATATAAAGGATCGGAGGATGCCTATGTGGATCAGGTTAGATTACTCGGAGATGACTTGGGCATATATGAAGTTCAAAAAGTGCACATAATGT